GGTCCAGAACGGATCCCCTGCATATACAAAGGGCCCACTGTACCAGTATTCCATACATATTCAATGTTTTGAAGAAAATGCACATATTATTTTGTCAAAATATATTCAAGAAGGTTTTATTTTTAAGGATCACATTTTTGTTTTGTATTTACTGGCATCAATAATGATTTGCATGGTGTAACATTTTCTGAAAATACAACTTTGATTAAAAATGATTGCACAAATGGGAAATAATACATCTTGGGTGATGAAAAGGAAATATAAAAACTGATGCCTTTGTTCATAACTATGGCTGCTTCTGCACTGCAGAAGTAATCCAGTTTCACACCACTTTAATTGCCATGATTCATTGCTATGGAACTCTGGGAACTGTAGTTTTGTGAGACATTTACTAGATTACTACTTTACACTCTTATAGTGCTGCTATTCCACTTTAACTGCTCAGGCTGCCTCCTGTTGCATTCTGGGATTTGTAGTTGAGGGAAGGGCAGTTTGAATTCTTAGCCAGAGAGCTCCTAGGCCTCACTGAACTAAAAGCCTCAGAATGCAAAAGGAGAAAGTCAGAGCAGTCAAAGTGGAATAGCAACACTATGAGAGTGTAATGCGGTAATATGGTTAGCCTTATCTGTCAGAGAATTCTTGTGCCACAACAAACTACAGTTCCCAGGATTCGTGCAGCCCAAAACTATATTTCTGAATTGGAAATTGACAGAACTTTGGCTATGTATGAAATGTAAGCAGGAAGGAATTATGAACATGAATAATGGGACACTGGCAAGAGTGTCCTAATGCACATTAGTCTGTACTAATGTAAATCATTACTCATTAGCCAATATCCCAATGCACATTGTCCCAATGCACAATGTCCCATTTTGCATCTGTCCCATTGGCATTAGTACCAATACACAATGGCCACTTTGGTGTTTCTCCTACAAAGTAATGAAACAGCAGCTCCTAGCTGAATACAGATGTTCAAAGCTTCGCAGTTTTATTCCCATGGTCATAAATCCATTTATGAAGATGCGAATCCCCAAGTGAATTCCAGCCATCATTTTTAAGAACCCCATCTAATCTTAAAGGGAGTTGTAGTCCAACCAAGCAAAGTTTTGTGAACTCTGCATTAAACTGAAAACTTTCAACACTACTTGTGGTAAATTCTATCCCCCCCATCTCAGCAAAGCTCTCTCTCTCTGAGATTCCTCCTCTTTGCCCTGAGGAGGGGAGAAGAATGTCAATGGAAACTAACCTCTTTTAATGCTCCAGAATCACACAAAGGATTCTGATTGTAGATAAGTTAGCCTTTCTCAAAACATAACCACCGCCAGGGCTATTGGAGTGGGGGGTGAGGACCATACTGGATGACATCCCAAAGGGGTGTGTGCACATGGTGGGGCTGGCGCAACAGCTGGGTGAGCAAGCCAGGACATTGTATTGCTTGCCCAGCAAGTTTGTGAGACTCCAAATCACCATCTGGAGCTGCAGCATCGCCCCCTAACAAAGGCCTTAGCAGCCATGCTGGATCCCAAATGGTCATCACATCTACTTAGATGCAACGAGCCAGACTTTACTTTTTCCACAGACCTAAACCCATCAAGTCCTAACCATGCTACTTTCATGGTATTTTAACCCATATGGTTAGTGGGATTGGGCATCAAGCCACATTCTAGATAGGTTCAAGCCAATTGTTTTGGAGAAATTAGTGAGAAAACACAGCTGCATTAGTTGAAGATAGACAGAAATTACACCGGGCTCAGAAAGTAGGAGAAATTAGTACCAGTTTCATGACATAATCTTTGAATTTAGAGAGCAAAGAAGCAGTGCCATAATATGATGGACTTAGGACCTTATCACACGGGGGCTGAAGCTGCCGCATCCCCGTCCCTT